CACACCATGTGTGCAGGGTGCGTAGGGACCAACCTGCGCCTGCGCACAGGTCTCCTTCCAGCCACGTGCGCCACTGCCCTCTATTGGACAAAATGCTTTTCGGCTTTACTAGCCGGCTAAAGCGAAATAACGGACGGACGTCCCACCAGCTGGCACAGGGCAAGGCACAACCGTCTAAGTCTCAGTTTCCACATCTCTAAAATGGGAGCGATGGTAACACTATCTGTCCTTGCCTCCTTCAAAGGGTTGTGATCAGGTGGAAATGACTGAAGTACCAGTTTTTACTTTTGCCTGCCTTCTTCTCTGCCCTAACACACTCCAGGTCACTTCCCTGAGGTGACCTTTCTCTCCAGCGTCTCTGAACTAATTTTAAACTGTAATAGGTAGTGGCATCTCACTTTTAGTGGCTTTAATAACTTCACATATGTTTCAAACACAATTTTCAAAGCATTTTTTTTCTCACAAGCGTTTACCATAATTTAAATTAATTTTCTGGTAATTACATGTTTGGGGTCTAAATCCTCGACTAGATTCTGAGTCCCCTAAATTTAGGGACCTGTGTGTCCTTTGTCACCATTGGATCCCCAGTACCTACCTAGCATAGTGCCTACTGCACGGTAGATCCTTGATAAATATCTGTTGAATAAGTACATGGATGAATCACAGAAATTAGTGAAGGCCAGCCAGAAATAGAAAGGGCAAAGTCAGATACGTGGAAAAAATCCTTTTCCAAAAGTAGTAACAGGGGCCAGCCAGGTGGCACAGCGGTTAAGTTCGCACGTTCTGCTTTGGGGGCCTGGGGTTCACCAGTTTGGATCCCGGGTGTGGACATGGCAACCCTTGGCAAGTCATGCTGTGGCAGGCGTCCCACATATAAAGCAGAGGAAGATGGGCATGGATGTTCGCTCAGGGCCAGTCTTCCTCAGCAAAAAGAGGGGGATTGGCAGCAGTTAGCTCAGGCCTAATTCTTCCTCAAAAAAAAACAAAACAAAACAGAGTAGTAACATGAACTAATATTAAAAATGAAAAGACAGAGTGATGAAAAAGTTTTGGAACTCGAAAGAGGTCATGGTTACAAGACAGTGTGAATGCGCTAAATGCCACTGAATTGTACACTTTAAAATGGTTAATTGGATGTCATGTGATTTTCATCTCAATAATAAAAAAAATGAAAGGGTAGAAGTGTAATATAATAATTATGATCCATGGTGATTTAGACACTCCGCAAATACTTGATGAAGTCAACATAAAGAGAACAACCTTTATACAGCGCTTGATGGTTTACACAAATATTTCCACATAAATGATTTCATTGGTTCCTCCCCACAAGCCCAGGGCCTTGCAGATGCGGAAACTGAGGAACCCAGACGTTTGGTTAGTGACCCTGTCCCTCAAAGAGGCCGGGCACGCTGCCCCCTCAGAGGCTCCAGCCTTGCTGCCTGCTGCCCAGAAGGGACTTCCTCCAAACAGCCGCTTCTCCCTCGCCTCTCTCTGGCCCTGCTTCAAGCGTCACCTCACCAGAAAGGCCTTCCCCAGGCGCCCCATCTGAAAGAGCAGCCCACCCCCTCCAGCATTCTCTCTCCCTTAGCTGGCTTGGTTGGTCTTCAAAATTCTTAGCTCATAGTACATACTGACGACAATTTTTCTGTCTCCTTCCACGACAGCGTAAGCGCCAAGAGAACAGTTCTCTGTTATAATCCTGACATCGGAATGGTACCTCGCAAATAATAGGTGCTTTAGAAATATCTGTTAAACAATTGGATAAGTAGTAGAATTTTACCATGAACTTGGCTGGATCTTCTGAGGAGCCTAGGCTTTTTAGGCTCCACCACAAAAATGAAACTATAACGTGACTGAGATAAAATAGCCATTGTTAGAGCACTGTGACAGAGTGCCACCTTGTTCACGAATGAGTCCCTGCCTGCTCCTCTTGTCCCCAAGGGCAGGGCACCTGTCTGTTGTCTCCCTGGTGCTAAGTACCCAGTATTAGGCACTTGTCTGTATGATATCAATAAGAAACAATGGATTCTGATGGTACAGACAAGAACGGAAGAGCCGGCCGCAACACACATCCAGGTCCCACCCTACGCGTGCACATGGGGGGCGGGGAGTCTCTGAGGAGAGGAGCAGGGAGGACGTGCTGCGCAAGGGCCAGAGTCCAAGAGCAGCAGAGTGTGACCTCGCAAGCCACGCTGTGTAATCTACGCACTGTGTAATCTACACAGATTACAATCTGTGTAGAAATGGCTCCCGAGACCAAACTGATCTGCAGTGTGAAACTTGTACGATTAATTCCAGCTCCCAGGGCAAAGCTTGCAGGGCTGGCCTCTTGAGAGCAGGGTCAGTGTGGTCTGACAGGACGAATGACTCTTGCAAGATGGACAGCGAACCTCAGACCCAGTGGCTATCCCAGAATAGTGCCTGGTGGCCTCTGAGAAATTCGTGCCCAGCAGCAGCAGCACCTGCCTCCAGTTCCTGAATCAGGCGGCCAGGTATGATGGAAAATCGTCTGGCGTCGCACAAAGAATGCAGATTAGGAGTCAAACTCCTGAAGCTCTGGTGTCAGTTCTCTCTCTCTCACCTGTGTGAACCCGTGTCTCTGAGTGCTGTTTACAAATTGCAGAGAAACTCACACAATCATAAAATCCACCATTTGTCCAACCTGACCACTGCACTGGGATTGTTACATTTTTGATGTAACAAAATATTTAATACAAATACCTGTTTGCCGTCCTGTCCCTCACATTTTAACTTAATGGTACTGAACCATGTTTTCAACCTTAAATAAAGCATAAAACTTTAAAAAAATGTTCTGAAACCGAATTTCTGCAGAGAATTCCAAGCTGTGTAAGCTACAGTCCACCCCACCCTATGCATACACACAAACATGTATTTTCCTCAAAAGCTTCCTTATAATACGTCCAAAGTACACAGCTCAAAATTCGAGCAAATTATTAATTACAAAACAAATTAAACAGAAAAAAATCACAGCATGATTCATACAGCAGCCGTTACTCTCGCCGTCTCCCATTGCACGACTGGTGTTTCAGTGTAATTGGCGCACGTTTCAGGAACCACGACCAGTCACCTTTGCCCTGCACTACCTGGACGTAACCCTCCTCCCCGTGGGCACTCAAGCATAGGTGGGTATTTAGTTTTTCTCAATCCCACAGCATGAAGGAAAAAACCAAAGCAAAACATGTTGTTTTTATCTTATATTCCCTAAGTGGAGGCCTGGGCTTGACTCGAGATTAAATGCACAGGCACAGGCTGGCATCAAACTGGACCAGCTCGTGGTCGAGAGATGCAAACTCGGGCACCTGTGGAGGGGTCAGGGACCCCAGGCAGGCTGGCAGGCTGCGGCCAACTGGGGAGCGCAGGCCCCAGCTGAAGGGGACGCGAGTAGGCAGCAAGGGTTGCTGGATGGGCCCAGTGTGACGAGTGCGTCTCACTTTTCAGGAAAAGCCAGAAACCCAGGTTTTAATGTGAATCTCTAGATTTTTAAATGCTAGCAATTAGCACGAAAAACTGTTTTAAAAGTATGCTATGGGCCAAACACAACGTGTCTATGGCCTGATGTGGCGCCCAGGTAGCCTGTTGGTGAGCTCTGGAGAGAAAGGTGGTTCCAGTGGGTTCCAGGCCCGAATCTGCCACTCACGAACTGCTTCCCAGGGCGGTCACTTCACCTGCCAATCACCAGGCACTGAAATCCAGTCAGCTGCTGAAGCTACCGCGTGGTGGCTAAGGCGCCGATTCCTCCTACCTACTACCACCACATGCTGCCCTGTCACTCTCACTGGCCACTCTGGGCTCCAACTTCCTCATCTATAAAATGCGGATAATACTACAACCCTCTCAGAGGATTAAATGAGACACCGCTTGCAAAGCGCCTAACTGCCGAGTCAGCACATTTGATGACACGTATCAGCTATTATCTATCAGCTGGTGCCTCGCTCCTCGCCATCCATTCACAATTAATCAGCAAATCCTGTTAAATAGGACTTTTCAAACCCTCTCCAATCTATCCTCGTTTTCATCCCCACTTTCCCTGCCTTAGTTCACAGCCTCGTCCTCTCTACCCTGAACTACTCATTATAACCATCTACTAATCGTGCCTCCTGCTTTACTGAGCACCTACTCAGTGCCCCACAGTGACCCACTCTCACGCTGTGCCTAGTTGATTTGACCTCTCTGCTGGGTAAATTACGTAAAGCAAAGGTCTGATGGTGTCGTTCTCCCTGTCATCTACAGAACAAGGCTAACTTCCTTAAGCCTGCCATCAAGGCTGGCCCCGTGGTCTCCCCTACATCACCTCCTACTGGTCTCTATCATACTCCCTCTGCTCCAGCCACACCCAATTACTGCTCTTGCCTTTTCCTGAACCAGCCATGTGGTTCCCGGTCATCGCACCTCGGCAACACTACTCTTTCTGCTTAGCATGTTTACTTGTCCTTTTCTCACCCGATGTTGACCGCTTCTCATCCTTCTAAGTCCAAGCCAAAAAGGCCACCTCCGCCATGAAGCCTTCTCTGATCACTCCCCTAAGCAGCCCCCATGGTCAGGCCCTCCCTTCTCTGCGTTTCCCACGGCACTTAGCATGTAGCAACCTTCTAGCCAATCTCACAATCTGGCCACCTACTTGTCGAGACATCTGTCTCAACACGAGACAGGAGGCCAAGGGCAAGAATCTGGTCCTACACATTTTTTGCATTCCCAACTGGCACGAAGTGAGGGTTCAGTGTTTGCTGAATGAAGTAATGGCACCGACCAGGAAGGGATTTCAACAAAAGCCAAAACATAATGTCACTTTTAACACATTCTGCTGCAAGAAACATGGATCTTTGGGAAAACGCAAAGAAAGAGTAGGATCATAAAAATACATAAAATCACTCTGGAGCCCTCAATTCCCTGAAAGGTGTGCATTTTGGTTAATTTTAGTAAAAAAGGATATTCTATATAAAGTTCTAGCTTCCTAGATGATTGAAAATATCTGCACTTACAAGGTGGCTGCCATTTGTCACAGTGTCTCGATCTTCACTTTTTCTTTCTGTGGCTCCAGTAGGATGTGTCTGATGTCCGGGACAAAATGTAATCCAGCCAAAGAACAAGTCTGAGTATTTGGGTCATAATTTATATACAGTGCAGTGCAATCTTGGAGACCCACACAGCTGAAAACGGCCCGTCTTGACCTCGTGCCCACGCAGGCCTCTTAGAGAGAGGCAACAATTTCTCGGCGCTCAGAGAATCACCAGAGGAATCTAGGAGAGGACGATCTTAGGAAGGCAGAGATCTGGGAAGGAAAATAAACATCATTGTTTTGCGCCTTTATGTTCTTAAAAGCTTGCCACTGAAGCGCTCATTCAACAAGCATTCACTGAATGAATGGAAGGGTTGTCCACAGCCTCATTCCCAGCCCCCGAGGCGGGATCACAGACCTGGCTTCTGCAGGCTAGGAAACCGAGCTGCAGGGCTTGGCTAGTGACAACGAAGAAGGCAACTCTGCAGAACAGTTTCCAGTGTGGCTCTGGGAACAGGCTACCTGGGCGCAGGCCTGGCCCTGGCAGTTTCCAGTTGGTAGAGTTGATAGACTAATTGTTCCCATCTCAAAGAATTGTTGGAAGGATCAAATGATAGAGAACATGTAAAGGGCTTAGCTTGATGCCTGTGCAATTATTCTTCTTATTATAAGAATTCAGTAAATGTTAGCTACCAACATTTGTCAAAAAGCTCCTACTACCAGGCTTGAGCCTTCTGCAGCTTATCTTTACAACTCTGCCCACAGCCAATATCTCTCCTTTACTGCCTACCTACGGGATCAGAGTTCTTAGAGAGTGGAAGAAAGAGCAGGCTATAAAATCCTGAACAATAAATAAGTAGAAATAGCAGAGAGAGGAGAAGAAACAGGTCACATACATAGACCACCTGGTCTGTGCCATGGCTCAAGCATAAAAGAGATCTGGACTCTCCACGGCCACGCTTGAAGGGAGAAAACAAAGGGGCAGGCCTTCACACTGCTGAGGGAACATTCTAGCCCTGGACAAACTCAAGTATGGAATAAAGACATTTTCAGGCATTTGAGGCTTCAAAAAACGTGAGATGTTCTAAGGAACAGGGGAAATTACTACAGCAATTCCTCAATAGATGTTAAATAGTATCGAGACAGCTAAAGTCACTGAATGTGACGGATTGATTCATACCACGAGTACACACTGAGGGCCCACTCTGTGTTGGTTAGACGGCAGACTACAACAGGTAACACAACAGTCACCCACTGATTCTGTTATGGAGCTTCCATGCGAGTGGGGAGAGAAAGAGAGCGACTACAGAAGGAAAACTCTGCGTCAGAGGTGACGAGGGCTGCGGAGAAAGAGACCAGGGCCTCCAGCCCACACTTCCAGAACATAGACTACAGGGATAGAGACACAGACTAAATGATACCATCTGGAATAACCAGATAAATCCAGACTGTTGGACATCTATAAGAAAATAGGCCTGAATTCTTTCAAAGATCAAAGTTGTTAAAAACAAAATAAGAGGGAGATTACTGTAGATTAAAAAGAGTCAACAATCACATTCAACGTACAAGCCCTGATTGGATCCTGGGCCAAGGCAAAAAAGTTACAAAAGATAATTTTTGGGATAAGGAAGGACATTTAAATACTGATTGAATATTAGACGGTATTAGGAAATTATTCTTAATTTTTAATTCATTAAATTAAAACATTTTTTAATTCATTTAGGTATTATGGATATGTAGGAGAATTTCTTTATTCTGAAGTATACAGAGATAAAGCAATTAGGGCAAACTGTTATCAACTTTGAATCCAGGTAGAGAATATTTAGTTGCTCGTTGCTCTAATAATTCAACTTTTCTGTATATATTAAAATGTCCAATATAAAAAGTCAAATAAAAAGGAATGGAGGAGGGGCCGGCCCGGTGGCATAGTGGTTAAGGTCACATGCTCTGCTTTGGTGGCCTGGGGTTTGCAGGCTTGAATCTAGGTGTGGACCTAGCACCACTCATCAAGCCACACTGTGGCAGCAGCCCACATAAAATAGAGGAAGATTGGCACAGATGTTAGCTCAGCAATCTTCCTCAAGCAAATCTTCCTCAAGCAAAAAGAGGAAGATTGGCAACAGATGTTAGCTCAAGGCCAATCTTCCTCACCAAAAAAAAAAAAAAAAAAATTAAAAAATTAAAAAATGGAATGGAGGAGAAGACTTAGAAAAAGTAAGCATAAACAACACTTTGGAGGAATTCTCCTGTAGAGTATATTCATTTCCTAGAGCTGCTGTAACAAATTACCACAGACTGGACAGCTTAAAAGGACAGAAATTTATTTTCTCACAGTTCTGGAGGCCAAAAGTCCAAAATCAAGGCATTGGTAGAGGCCATCCTCCCTACAGAGGCTCTAGGGAAGAATTCATTCCCTGCCCTTCCAACTTCTGGTGGCTATCAGCACTTCTTGACTTGCGGCTGTGTCACTCCAGTCTCTGTCTTGGGGCCACATCCCCTCCTCCTCTTCTGTGTGTGTCTGACCTCCTTGTCTCTCTCTTACAAGCACACTTGTGGTAGCATTTAGGGTTTGCCCGGATTACCCAGAATAAGCTCCTCCTCTCAAGATCTTTAACTTAATCATATCTTTTGCCATATAAGGTGATATTCACTCTGCTGCCATATGGGGTAATATTCGCAGGCTCCTGGGATTAGGAAGGGAATGATCTTTGGGGCTGCCTTTGTGCCTACCACAGGGACCAAGAAAAAGGAGCAGTAGCTGGAGGGGAAAGCAGAGTCAAGAGAGGTTTTGTTTTTCTTAAGATGAGGGAAATTACAGCATGTTTATAATCATTTAGTGGTTTACTGTACACTGCAGTAGCACAGTGGGACTGTTTACTGGTTCATCGTGTTAGCACTTTCACATGGCAGAGCCCACAAGGAAAATAGCAAGCGCCCCTGCAAGATGAAAATTAGGGTTACTCTTTGAGAATTCAATTAAGAACACTCAAAATGTCATGGAGGAGACTTTCTATCAAACATGGCAGATTGAACATATGTTTATCTCCAAACCCCACCAAGATGAAAACAAAGGAATAAATATGGTATAAAACCCTAAAGACGAAGAGAACAGGAGAGCAGACAACAGTGGATCAGAGAGGTGAAGCAACTTCTGGAGATGGAGCGGGATTGCAGAGTGCAGGACGCTGGGACTTTTATGTTCAAAGACGTGACTATAAACAAGAGTAACAGTTCACTCCACTCATGTCCCAAAAGCTCAGGACCTGGAGGGACCAGATACCTCAGGTGGAAGGAGAAGCCATAGGGCCAAAACACGCAAATTGCTTAGAAGTCTGTACATAAAGCAGTTAAACTCACAAATCCTCTCTCTAACCCTTTTTGGCCTAGCAACAACTCCCCGCAGGATACAGAGGGTTTATTCTCTGGAGAAATGGAATCTGCAAACAGTCGAAAGCTGGGGTGCCCCTGACTTGGGGACACGAGGCATAGATGAGGGTAGGGATGAGCACTGAGCTGAAGATCAAAGAAGTGGGTGAAAACACACATGCTGAATGCGGGAGCCACGTCCCTACCCCACCCCTTCCCCCCTGCCCTGCTGCCAGAACCTCAAGAGTGGTGGCCATGCAAATACTTCCCAGACGGGAAGCTAGAGAATTCTTCTCTGGAGATGAATTGTCCCAGCAACGTGATCTACAGATTCTGACATTTGAGGGTACCAAATAAAAAATCTGCCTGTTCCAGTCACCTGAGGATGAAGGCCATCAATTAACAAGCCCCATTTGTGCACAGAGTTTCCAATTCACTCTGCTTAGTGTCTGATTCTTAAATATGAATGGACAGTCAAAGATCAAACACTTGAGGAAAACTTCCAACACATACACACGCACACATGCGTGCACACACACACAACAGAAAAGGGGGAGGGGAATTCAGAGGCAACAATGTGAAGAGCAGAAGAAAAATTACAAAGAGGAAAATTCCTTGGAGGGCTAAGAGAATATGTCAATCAAACAAAAACAGGAATGCCATATATTAAAAAAAAAGAAGCAATCAGTGAACAAGAGAGTTAAAATAAAAAAAATTTAATAGAAGGATAAGAAGATAAAGTTAATGAAATTGTCCAGAGAGTAGAACAAAAAGAGAGGGCCAAAAGTAGAAAAAAGATAAGAGCTATAATTCAGGATCCACCATCCCGATGAAGGACCACAGAAAATGGGATGAGCGTGCAGGCTGAGCCACGGAGTGGTGAGAAACATGTAATGTACATAGGCAAAAAAAGCAGGTCATATCTATAGAATCAAAAAAAAAAAAAAAAGAACAAAACTGCACTCATAAACAGCAACACTTGGAAGTTAGAAGATACTGGGTCCTTACCTTTAAAATTCTAAGGGGAAAATATTTCCAACCTAGGATCCTATACCCAGCTGAACTCTCAGTCAGATATGAGAGAAGAATCAATATTTTCAGACAGATAAGGTGTCACAAGTTTACCTCCCAGGGTCACTTTATCTGGAAGCTATTAGATGACGTGGTTGACCAAAATGAGGCTGTAAAACAAGAAAGAGGAAGAAGATCTAAGATCCAGACAGACGGAGACCCAACTCAGAAGAACCAAGAGAGGCGGTAAGAAGCCCAGGACAGCAGTTATGGAGGCAGCCTAGAACACAGCCACTCGACATCAGACCCAGAGGACGAAGGACTCCAAGAAGGAAATTTCTAGGGGGAAAATGGAGTTGATAGATTATCTGCTAGGTTTGACCATATGAACAAAAATATGGGATTTACAGATCCTTTGGAGCCTTTGGGGGAAAACTAGCAAAGGGTATGTAGAAAACGTAATTAAAAAACATGAGGGGGGCCGGCCCCTTGGCCAAGTGGTTAAGTTCACGCACTCTGCTTTGGCGGCCCAGGGTTTCGCTGGTTCGGATCCTGGGCGAGATATGTCACCGCTCATCAGGCCATGCTGAGGCGGCATCCCACATGCCACAACTAGAAGGACCCACAACTAAAAAAAATATACAACTATGTACTGGGGGGAGTCGGGGAGAAACAGCAAAAAAAAAAAAAAAAAGATTGGCAACAGTTGTTAGCTCAGGTGCCAATCTTTAAAAAAACAAAACAAAACAAAAAAAACCCCATGAGGCTATCATAAATTTGTTACGATACTTGCGTTATGTTATGATATGATGAAGTTTCTACTCCTTAGAAATTTTACAGATTTTGAAAAGTATTCCTGTCATCCCAACGATCCATGATGCTTTTCGCCACCTCTTACATTCCTATCCAAGAGACAAACAGGATCTAAGAGCTGAAGTCTTGACACTGAAGTCTGGACGCTAGGCCCACAGGGTGTCCCCTCTCTTCCCTGGGATGACAGTGGATGGTGGATGGCATGTGGAAGACATAAAAGAAAGCCCCAAAGGAGACAGACACAAGGGAAAAAGTCCATGTGATCAGACGAATAATTAAAAGTCAAAGATGGACACAATAATAATACAAATAATTGAGATGAATTCAAATGAAACATGAGCAATTCAAATTTGATGTGGAGGTGAGAGGAACCTAAGGAAATGGTGATCATGGTAAAGTGATTAAAATAGTGGGGCCCAGCAATTATTTTGAATATGATTTTGGGGCTAGTTAGAGGGAAGATCAGTGAGGACCGGCTTGGTCCAGACATACAGGGCCCTGTGAGAGGCCTGTCCCGTTAGACTGTAAAGTTGGCTACATGGGAGAGGAGGGTAGAGATGTAGCGAAGGAAATAACTTTAAAACCCAACAAACATAATCACTATTATGAGATTTGGCTTCTTACTTTTTTTCTCCACTTCTTTATTTTCTGATCTCTTCTCTTGCTTTTGTCACTCTGGAGCTCCACATTCTTCTTCAGGATCCTCGCTCCAGCCTGCATCTTCTTCCAGAACTTTCATTATCTATCCTTTCTCTTGCTGTAATTTTCCATTTTGCTCATTCTGCCTTCTCTCACAACTCATAAACCCAATCATGTGTTAAATTAAATCCTTCTAACCCATCTCAAATCCATTTCTCAAACATTCCCCTACAAGCTCCTTGGTAATAGCTCTTCTCCAAGAAACGAATATCCACTTTTCCTCTACCTATCAACACATTATCAAACGTTTTCCTTCTCTCAAAATGTTCTCATGTCCCTCATTCTCACTCTTCTTCACTTCCTTTGTCCTGATCTCCGCCTCCATCCCCAGCAGCATTTCATTCCCACTCTCTCCTCTCTTAGGCTCAGGCGCTCTCCTTTCCTCTTTCACATTTACCCCTTCAGAGTCAACAACGTTCTGCTTGGTCCTAATTTCTCCTGGTTGACTTGCAGGACTTCCCCTATCTGCTGCTCTTTCCTTCTTTAGCTTCAATCCTTCATCTGCCTCCATCACTGGGTTCTTCATCTATAACCTCTTTCTCCTCCATAGAAACAGATTCATCAGTAATGGCATTCGCCCCACTCAAGACATCTTCCTCACCTGCTACCCCTTTCTCAGTCCCTTCCAGCTCTTCATCACTCCCTTCCACTCTTTCAAAAGGAATTTCCATCTCAGCATCAGTAACTTCTAACAATCTTTCACCACCAGTAACTTCTACCATTCTTTCAACATTCTCTTCATTTATGCTCTCCATTCTTGAACCCTCCAACTTCTCTCCACTAGTCTCCAGCTCCTCTCCACTGGTGCCCAGCTTCTCCCCACTGGATCCCACTTTCTCTGCACTTGACTGCAGTTTATCTCCAGTGGATCTCAAATCCTCTCCACTGGTCCCCAGCTTCTCTCTACTTGACCCCAGCTTCTCTCTACTTGACCTCAGCTTCTCTTTACTCGACCTCAGCTTCTCTGCACTCAACCTCAGTTTCTCTTCACTCAGCTTCTCTGCACTGGAACTCAGCTTCTCTGCACTGGACCTCAGCTTCTCTCCACTTGCCCTCAGCTTTTGTCCACTTGACCTCAGTTTCTCTCCACTCAGCTTCTCTGCACTCGACCTCAGTTTCTCTCCACTCGACCTCCGCTCCTCCTCATTCTGCCCTGGTTTATATCCTCTGGCTCTCAAGTCCTCTCCACTGGTCCCTACCCCAGTAAACTTCAAACTCTCTTTCAACCCAGACCCCCTCCCAGCCTCTGCTGTAGTCTCTGCCCTCTCTGATTCAGCCCCTATTTGGCGTCTGACTTGCTGCTTTCCCCACACCTCCTTTGGGCTGTCTTTCCCCAAACCTTCTGAAGCCTGTAATGCATTTGCTACACTGTGCAGCAGCTTCACATCCATCCTTTCCCGACTCCGGCCTGACTTCCCTTTCAACACCGTCTTTTCCACATCTTCCAGTCTCCAGGACTCAGACTCAAGCTTCTGGTCCCACATCCTAGGCTTTTGCGTGTTTCTACCCAGGAGCTCCATTTTCTTCCCGATCACAATGAGCCCGTTCCAGGGCACCCATAGTTTTTCTCGCAGCAGCTGTGTCCCTCTGCTTGCCGGCTCCAGTTGCGGCCACCCGCGGACCCCGGCCTGGCCTTGGGCGCCCTGGCCGCGGGCTTTGTGGCGCCCCCTTGCCCCCCTGCGCCGGTGACCCCGCCGCTCCCTCATGCCGCAGAGCGGAAGTCCAAACGGAACCCCTTTCTCCACAGATATTACCCCCTGCCCTCGCCCCTAATCCACCACCCCGACCCCTGCTCCCCATTCCCCCCCAGCCTACTCCCACCCCACCTCACCCCACCCCACCCTCCCACTCTGCCGGCAGCCCCGCCCACCGCTTGGAGGTTCCAAACTGGGCTGGTGCGCACGCGCAGACCTCGCGAGGCCGTTGGAAGGCGCGACCCGGAGCGGCGGTGGGCGGGAGCAGCCACTTGCTGGCGGAGGCTGACTCGGCGCGAGACCTCTGCGACCCCAGAGCCCCCGACCCCTGCCCCACGCTGTCCGCTGTTCCTGGCCCTTTCGGTTACTCGCTGCCCCTTAAAAGCTGGAGCCTGGGCACAGGACTGACAGGCGTTGCAGCCAATGGCGTCGCGCACGATAAACCTGGTACCCAATCAAAAGGCGCGGCTGCGAGGGAGCCGGGTGGGAACCACGCCCGACTCCAGGTGACTCCTTGGCAGGGAGGGGAAGGTGTCTCCGTCACCTGATAAGATCCCCACCCGGTCTGCTCATCCGGGCGAGTTAACGGGGACGAAGCTGCGGGAGCGCGCGGGCAGTGGCCAGCTGCGGAATCCTTGTGTGCTGCAGCCGAGAAGGAGAGTGATGGAGGAGCATCAAGAGGCTGGGAAGGAGGGGAAGGTAAAGAAAGGATGCAAACGCTCTCCCAACCTCCACCTCACTCCATGATACCCAATGATGCCCAATCGGGCAGTAAAGTGTGTGTTCGCGCACACGCGTGAGCTAGAGAGAGGAGAGACCTGAACGAGGGGGTGGCACCTGCATGGGGACTGGTGAGGATGCCGAAGGAGGTAGGGTTTACATTTTTTGCCCTGACAGATGGAAAGGAACCAGTCACTGTCACTCCTCCGCTCCCCAGGACCGACTCATGCTGGCTTGAAGGGGAAGTAGAAGTGGGAAGGATGTTAGGGATTGACTTCACCTTTCCCAAGGTGGGGGGAATCCTGCTCAGCACTAATGGCTTCACTTGTGTATCTGGGTTCATCTAATCATGAGACAATTCATTCTTCATTCTTTCCTTTTGATTTCATTCAACAAATAGTTATTGAGCATCCTTGCCCCAAGGATGGTTAGGGGCTGGGCACACAGAGGTGCTCACTTTTGGGGGGTTGGAGGCATGTGCATAGTGGCCTTGGCTGAGGATAAGGATGGAGGAGCTGTACTCCAACCTTGAAGTACCACCTCTCTCAAGCAGTTAGCAAGTGGCGCAGGTCAGAGCAGAGATACTAAGGCAGCAGGAAGGAGACAGGGCATTTGGGGGCCTACTGCACCAATGATCCAGACTGCGTTTTCTTGGGGGTGGGGGAGACGGTTGGACAGAGGCAGAGCCTGCCCTAGGGGTGTCAGAGAAACCAAGAAGTGAGGAATGGGGTTCAAGTGGAGTTTGGAGAGGTGAGAGGGGCTGAGAGACACAAAGTAAGAACTTTCAATATTTTTCTATGTTCATATTCATGATTAAATTAGTTAACATATATAAAATGCTTAGGGCAGTGCCTGGCATATAGGAAGAGCAAATATACGTGTTAGCTATTATATTATTGTTGTTGTTATTGTTACTATTACTGTTATCATATGGGATGCTATGTGTTCTGAAGATGTCCTGGGTTATCAAACTGATGGGTGCATCCCCAACCTTTGTAGGTGCCAGACTCTCTGAAAGTCCACTATTAGACCTTGCTCCCTAGAGTAAGCATTGCCTTCTCTAAGAATCCCCCTCAAATATAGAGAAATGAAAAGAATAATAAGTGGGGCTGGCCCTGTGGCGGAGTGGTTAAGTTCACACGCTCCGCTTCGGTGGCCCAGGGTTTCACCAGATCAAATCCTGGGCTCGGACATGGTACCACTCATCAGGCTATGCTGAGGCAGCGTCCCATGTGCCACAGCTGGAAGGACCCACAGCTAAAATATACACAACTAGGTAATGGGAGGCTTTGGGGAGAAAAAGGAAAAATAAAATCTTTAGAAAAATAATAATAATAAGTGAATATGTAAGTAAAAATATAATAGAGGAGAAAATGAAATAATATAAAATACTTGACTAATCTAAAAGAAGGCAAGAAAGAAAGAATAAAGGAACAAGAAACAGATGGGTCAAAGAGAAAACAAAAATCAAGATGGCAGGTTTATAGCCTACGATATCAGTGATTACAATATTATGAATGGACAAAAGACTCCAATTAAAAAACAAACATTTCCGGATTGGACTTTCAAAAGACAACTATTCTGTTAAAAGAGACATGCTTTAAATATAATGACACAGAAAGATTGGGGAAAAAAGGATGGAAAAATATACATCATGAACACACCAAACAAAAGAAACCTGGTGTTGCTCTATTAATTTCAGACAAAGTAGACTGTAAGACAAGAAGTATTACTAGAAATAAAGAGGGACGTCCTACAATGATTAAAGAGTCAATTCAACAGGAAGATAAAAGCCCTAAATTTATATGCACCTAATAACACAGTTTCAAAATAAGCAAAGCAAAAGATCACAGAATTAAAAGGAGAAACAGACAAACCCACAATTACAGTTAGAGGTTTAACACAACTCTCTCAATAAGTGTTAGAACAAGCAGACAAAAAAATCAGTAAGGATTTGGAAGATTTAAAATAACACGATTAATCAACTTGATCTAATTGATTTATGTAGAGCTCTATACCCAACAACTGTAGAAAACACATTCTTTTCAAGTGCACATGAAACAGTTACCAAAATATATTATATGTCAGGCTATAAAACAAGTATCAAAAAATTTTAAAATATTGAAGTCTGGGCCCGCCTGGTGGCACAGTGGTTAAGTTTGCATGTTCTGCTTAGGCGGCCCGGGGTTTGTCGGTTTGGATCCCAGGTACGGACCTATGCACTGCTTGTCAAGCCATGCTCTGGCAGGCATCCCACATATAAAGTAGAGGAAGATGGGCACGGATGTTAGCTCAGGGCCAGTCTTCCTCAGCAAAAAAAAGAGGATTGGCAGCAGATGTTAGCCCAGGGCTAATCTTCCTTGGAAAAAAAATTATTTTGGAAATATGACATATCAAAACTCATGAGATGCAGCTAAAGCAGTGTCCAGAGGGAAATTTACACCTCCAAATGCATATTTTAGAAAAGAAGAAAGGCTGAAAAGTTAATGATCTAAATTTCAATCTCAAGAAGCTAAAAAAAGAAGAGCAAATTAAACCCCAAGAAAATAAAGGAAGGAAATAATATAGAACAGAAATCAATAAATACAAGATAAATATACAAATAGAGAAAATCAATAATGCCAAAAATAGTTTTTTGAAAATACTAATAAAATTGATAAACCTCTAGCAAGACTGATAAAAGAGAGAGAGAGCAGAAGGGAGACTAAGAGGGAGGAAGGGAGGAAATATTCCCAATATCAGGAATGATAAAGGGGCCATCTCTAGAGATGTTTCAGTCATTAAAAAGATAAGAGTATTTAAGAATGAGTATATGCCAACAAATTAGAGAATTTAGATGAAACGGACAAACTCCTTGAAAAATGCAACTTACCAAACCTGAAACAGAAAGAAGTAGAAAATCTGAGTTGTCTATGCCTATTATAGGAACTAAAGCTGTAATTAGAAACTTTTCCAAAAATACCTCTCTAAGCACAGATAACTTCACATGTGAATTCTTTGAAGCATTAAAGGAAAACTAGTATCATTCTTACATAAATTATTCCAACACCAGAAACAGAGGGCAAAATTCCCACTTATTGTAGGAGGACGACATCACCTTGATACAAAACCCTGTCAAGAGGAGATGGATGATGCGATGGTTGCACAAGTGAGTATACGTAATGCCACTTAACTGTACACTTAGAAGTGGTTACGATGGTAAGTTTTATGTTATATATATTTTACCACAAAAAAAACAGTCAAGAACATTACAAGAAAAGGAAAGTGCAGTTTAAAATGTCTTGTGAACCCAGATGCAAAAATCACAAACAAAATATTAAGTTGAATAAGCAATATATAAAAAGATAGTATTTCATGGTGAAGGCCTTCTTACAGGAATGCAAGGTGGTTTAACATTTGAAAATCAATCAAAGAAATTTTGCACATATGCGGAATAACAGGAAAATCCATATGATATCTCAATAAAGGGAGAAAAAAAAGGATGAAAATCAACACTCCTGTCAAACTAGGCATGGAAGGGAACGTCATTAATCTGATAGAGTACCTAAAAAACACCTTCAGGATTAAATGTTGAATGCGTTCCCTCTGAGATCAGGAACAAGTCAAGGATTTCCTTTATATCACCACTTCCGCATTGTACTAGTGGTCCTAGTAAGTGCAATAAGGCAAGAAAAAGAGATAAAAGGTGTAAAGTTTGGAAAGGAATAACTAAAACTGTCATTATTTTAGATTATAGGATTGTATATGTAGGAAATCCGAAGATCTATACACTGTTAAAAGTAGTAAGTAAATTTAGCAAGGTTCCTGGACACAAAGTAAATATATAAAAATCGATTGTGTGTTTCTATATACTAGCAACAAACAATTAGAAGATGAAATTTTTTTTTTATTTTACTTTTATTTATTTTTTTGAGGAAGATTAGCCCTGAGCTAACTACTGCCAATCCTCCTCTTTTTGCTGAGGAAGACTGGCCCTGAGCTAACATCCATGCCCATCTTCCTCTACTCTATATGTAGGACGCCTACCACAGCATGGCTTTTGCCAAGCAGTGCCATGTCTGCACCAGGATCTGAACCGGTGAACCCCGGGCCGCCAAGGAGCAGAACGTGCAAACTTAACTGCTGCACCACCGGGCCGGCCCCAAAGATGAAATTTTTTTAAATATTATTTAAAATAGGAACAAGAACAACAAAAATCATCAAATACCTAGGACTAAATCTAACAAAAGATGTGCAAAATCTCTACAGAGAAAACTACAAAACGTTACTGAAAAGAATTAAAGAAGACCTAAATAATTGGAAAGATATTCCATGTTTATGGGATGGAAGATTCAATATTGTAAAAATATCTATCCTTCCCAAATTGATTTATAGACTCAGTGTAATCTCAATCAAAATCCCAGCACGTTTTTTTGGGTGGAAACAATCTGATTTGAAAATTTATGCAGAAATGCAAAAGGACCTATAATAGCCAAAATGATTTTGAAAAAGAAAAACAAAGTTAATTCCATCTGATTTCAAGGTTACTTATTAATTACAGTAATCAAGACAGGGTGATATTATCAAAGGTATGGCCATATAGATCAGTGGAACAGAATAGAGAGTAAAGAACTGATCACACTTATGGGGTCAATTGATTTTCTACCAAGGTGTGCCCCAAACAAATCAATAGTGAAAAGATAGTCTTTTTTTAACAAATAGTGCTAAAATAACTGGCTATTTATATGGCAAAAAATGAATTATAACCCATGCCATATACTGTATACAAAATGAATTGAAAATGTATAATAGACCTAAATATAAAAGCTAAAACTATTAATTTCTAGAAGAAGAAGAACAAAGATAATATCTTCATGACCCTGAGGTAGGCAAAAGTTTCTCCACGACTACACAAAAATCCTTAACCATAAAAGACAAGACTGATATATTGAGCTTGTAAAATTATAAGCCATTGGGCCCACCCCGTGGCGGAATGCTTAAGTTCCCACGCTCTGCTTCGGTGGCCCAGGGTTTCACCAGTTGGAATCCTGGGTGCGGACATGGCACTGCTCCTCAAGCCATGCTGAGGCGGCATCCAACATGCCACAACTAGAAGGACCCACAACTAAAAATATACAACTATGTACCGGGGGCTTTGGGAGAAAAAGGGAAAATAAAATCTTTAAAAAAAAAAAAAAAAGAATCTTAAAAAATAAAAATAAGCCATTAAGAGAGTGAACAGCAACCCATAGAGTAGGAGATATTGGCAACACACATAACCGACAAGGGGCTTGTCTCCAGGGTATATAAAGACTTCCTACAAATCAATAAGAAAAAGATAGTCTGATTTTAAAAAGAGGAGAGCAGAGGAGGAGCAAAAGACTGAAGAGGTGCTTTACAAAAGAAGATATCCAAATGGCCAATAGGTACATCAAATGGTGTTCAACATCATTCCTCACCAGGGAATACGAGTTGAAGCCACAATGTGCTATTACCATACCTCCACCAGTATGGCTAAAATAAAAAGGACTGACAATTCTAAGTATTGACAAGGATGCGGTGCAACTGGAACTTGCATACGATGCTAGGAGTATAAATTGGTCCAACCATCTTGGAAAACTGTTTGGCAATATCTATGAAAGCATTTTAAACACAAGCCCACCTTATGACCAAGCATTTCTCATGCCCAACAGAACTGAGTACTTAGGTCCCTCAAAAGACATATGCAAAAATATTCATGGCAGGGGCTGGCCCGGTGGCGCAGAGGTTAAGTTCGCATGTTCCGCTTCAGCAGCCCAGGGATTCACCAGTTTGGATCCCAGGTGTGGACATGGCACCACTTGGTAAGCCACGCTGTGACAGGCGTCCCACATATAAAGTAGAGGAAGATGGGCATGGATGTTAGCTCAGGGCCAGTCTTCCTCAGCAAAAAGAGGAGGATTGTCAGCAGATGTTAGCTCAGACCTAATCTTCCTCAAAAAAAAAAAAAAAAAAATATATATATATATTCATGGCAGCTTTATTCATAATAGCCCCAAACTTGAAATAATCCAAATGACCACCAACAGTGGAATGGATACATAAGCTCTCTCTCTCTATATATATATATATTCATGTCATGGACTACTACACAGCGATGAAAAAGGACTGGTGCTGCACTCAGCAACAGAGATGGATCTCACTAAGGAACACAGACACAAAAGAGTATAGAGTGTATAGTTGCATTATATGAAGTTCAAGACCAGGTAAAATTAATCAATGTGATAGAAGTCAGAATAGGGGTCCCCAACATGTGCCAAATGTGTGCCACAACCTGTGAGAGGAGAGAGTGAGGCCTCTGGGTGTGGCAGGTGGGCAGGGGACACTTTAAATACTGGTGAGCAATGCTTGAAGGTAGAGTGGCTTTTAAGCCTCTTCCCTTCTTAGGCACGATAGCAGGGACATAGTGGGTGTTTAGTAAATGCTTGTCAAATAGCTCAATGCAAGAACAGACTGGTAGCCTGGTGCCCCACGGATCTTTTCACTTAGAGAAATACACAGGCTTTACTACAAGCCAGTGCCTCTTGGCACTGAAAGTAGTGAATGGAATGTTCTCAGGAACCCCTTATCCACCTCACTCTAGGCCCTGACAAAAGGGTACCCGAGCTGGGGAAGGGGTGGGCAGGTAGCTGAGAAAGTGCGTGGCGTTTGGAATCCAGAAACTGGGTTCAAATCTGGCCCTGCCACTTCGCAGCTGTGTAATCTCAGACACGTTATTTCGCCTCTCAGGTGGGCTCAGCTTCCACCCCGTAAGATGGGGAGAATTCTGCCTGCTTCAGAGGATGGGAGGGTGGGAAAGTGTTGTGGTAATTGTAAAACCCTGAGCACTGACTTACCAGGATCCTTCTGGGGCCAGCCGGTGACGCCAGGGCAGGGGGGAAGCAATGCTGCTGAGGTGGGCTCTGCAGGAGGACCAGAAGCCTCCGGCGAGGATGGGCCCGGGGGCCATGGTCAATCATGTCAGGGACATCCCCTCCCCCACAGCCCTCCTCCACAGCAGTGGACCTGCACGGGGACAGCTCCTTACAGGTGGAGATCTCTGACGCCGTGAGCGAGCGTGACAAGGTGAAATTCACCGTTCAAACCAAGGTGAGGCTGCAGGGGGCACAGGGCGGTTTGGAGGGCTGCCGCCGCAGGTTTCAAGAGCTTCCCTCAGCCTCTGCTCACCTGGGGGTGGTGGGCAGATGCCAGCGTAGCCTTTGGGCCCTGTTCCCCAACTTGGCTCCTGCCCCCTGCCCCTCTGAGAAAGCAGGCATCTTGTCTCTGATCGCCTTTGCCTAAGGCCCCGTGTCCTAACCATCCCCTGGCCACCATCCTGAGTGACATCATGGACACTGGAGCCCCAACTTGGACCTGACCTGGCATATGGATTGGGGAGGCCTAAAAGTGGGTGCCCGGGAAGCTTGATGGGTGCAGGGTTTGCAGAGGGGAGGAGAGACCTGAGATGGGCTTCCCGCTTCCAGAGCTGCCTCCCTCACTTCGCCCAGACGGAGTTCTCAGTCGTGCGGCAGCACGAGGAGTTCATTTGGCTACATGATGCCTACGTGGAAAATGAGGAGTACGCCGGCCTCATCGTGAGGAGGGGCCGGGCGGGCTGGGGCTGCAAGGGGCAGGCCTGGGTGCTTGGGTGAGGACGGAAGGCCGGGCCAGGCTTCCAGGTGCAGGTGCTGGCCTTCTCAGCAATGAGAGGCTTCTCAGCTCTGTCCTCCTTTGAGCAGATCCCCCCAGCCCCTCCAAGGCCAGACTTTGAAGCTTCGAGAGAAAAGCTGCAGAAGCTGGGTGAGGGGGACAGCTCCATCACGCGGGAAGAGTTTGCCAAAATGAAGCAGGAGCTAGAAGCGTGAGTGCCACCTCCTTTCCTTGTCTATGACAAAGCCCCAGCCTCTCCTGTGAGCCCCAAGATTTCTCTCATTATCCCCTATGGATTTTAGGGACTCTGACCTCTGACCCCAGGGCTGCCACAGGAAAGGGGGCTGGATGATCAGAGCCAAGGAGGGCCCTCGAGCTGCCTGCCATTCTATGCAGGGAGTACCTGGCTATCTTTAAGAAGACAGTTGCGATGCACGAAGTCTTTCTGCAGCGCCTGGCAGCCCACCCCACCCTGCGTCGAGACCACAATTTCTTTGTCTTTTTGGAATATGGCCAGGATGTGAGCTGGACCAGGGCTGGGGTCAACCCCGGGGGTGGGGGCAGGGCTCTAGATGGGCTCAAGCCTCTGTCTCATCAGCTTGTCGAGTGGCATGTGCCTGGGGTAGGCGGTGCACATGCCTACCCAACATCACACCCTCCCCACCTGTGTCTCAGCTGAGTGTCCGAGGAAAGAACCGGAAGGAGCTCCTTGGGGGCTTTCTGAGGAATATCGTGAAGTCTGCAGATGAAGCCCTCATCACTGGCATGTCAGGGCTCAAGGTGAGCCCTGAGGTCCCTCTCTGGATATAACCCAGGGTCTCAAGTTCACAGCAAAGATTGAGGCCCAGGATGGCTGCGGGAGGGAAACCCCTGGGGGGGCCTGGCCTCGAGGGAGATTGTGCCACCCAGGGGCGTTCATGGCTGCCATGCTCCTGGTGACTGGGCATAAGTGGGTCCTGTCTGGCTCCCTTAGGAGGTGGATGACTTCTTTGAGCACGAGAGGACCTTCCTGCTGGAGTACCACACCCGCATCAGGGATGCCTGCCTGCGGGCAGACCGAGTCATGCACTCCCACAAGTGTATGCAGAGTCCCAGGGGCCCTGGATTCCCTGCCCCCTCTCCCCAGCGGTCCTACTCCCCATGGGAGAGAAGAGAGCAGGGACTGCCCTGTGTCTGTCCATGGCCACAAACACCAGGGGTGGGGCTTGACCTGCAAACCAAGGGGCTCTGATGGAGGGCTGTTCCCCAACAGGCCTGGCAGATGACTATATCCCGATCTCGGCTGCACTGAGCAGTCTGGGAACACAGGAAGTCAACCAGCTAAAGACGTGAGGACTCCCACTTGCCCCTCCTGCCATCTATGCCTGTAATACCATATCTGCCCATGAGGGGTCACTGTAGAAGCCTGCTATCAGCTCTAGATGGGAGGTGCAGAAGCTCCTTCTGGGATTTGGGAGAGAGAGACAAGTGGGTGATTTCCCCAAGCTGGGGGCTAATGGGAGGCAGGCTTCAAGCACCCCCCTAAGGCCCCTGCCCTAACTCTTCCTGCTGCCTCCTAGGAGCTTCCTCAAATTGGCAGAGCTCTTTGAACGACTAAGGGTGAGTATTACCTTCTGTGTTGAAAGGCCACCCAATGATCCTTCACAGGGAAGAGTCTTGGGAGAGGGCATAGCTCCAGGACCATTTTGGAATGTTCAGTGATAATTTGGGCCCAGTGACACCCTGGACTCACCCTCCAGACTAGTTTAAAAGAGGTAGAGTAGAGACAGGGATCCAGCCTTATGTGTGTGTGTGGTGATGTGGGAGTGGGTAGGAACCGGGCTTGGAGAGGCACTTACAAGGATGTGCCACGTGCCTCTGGCAGCTAAACTGTGCTGCCAGCCTCCTGCCCCAGATGCACACTTCCTGAACTCTTCTCCAATAAAGTCAGCGGAGTGTGTCAATCTTCCTAAAACGTCTGTTGAACCACATCTCATCTCTGCTCAAGGCCCCTCTGTGACCCGTCCCTTCCAGAAAGTGTCCAAGACACAAAGCCCAAAATCCTCAGCTTACATTTTAGGCCTTTTGTGATCTGGCTACTGCTGTCCAAGTGCCCCCACTGAACTTAGGGTTCCCTGAACACACACCAGGCTTGCACACCTGAAAACCTTTGTTATTGTCTGACTCCTATTCAACCCCCAAGATCCACATTAGATGCCACCTCCTCTGAAGCCTTCTCTGACCTGCTCCCCTGAAAATCAGGGCTTCACCTACTGTAGTTACCAAGTGACTCTGCTGGGTGAGCAGCAGCCCCCCAGCCCCTAGCTTCCCCTCTGCAAGCTCCCTCCTCAGATCTCCCCACTATTCCTGATTCAGAAGCTGGAAGGCCGCATGGCCTCTGACGAGGACCTGAAGCTGTCGGACATGCTGAGGTACTACATGCGAGACTCGCAGGCAGCCAAGGTGAGAGGTGGCCCCAAGACCTCAAGGCTAGAGGCCAGTGGGACTGGAGCAACTGGCGAGGGCAGGCTGGCGAGGGCTGCTGCTAAGTGATCTTGTGCCCCTGCTGGCCCCAGGACCTGCTGTACCGGCGGCTGCGGGCACTGGCTGACTATGAGAATGCCAACAAGGCGCTGGACAAGGCGCGCACCAGGAACCGGGAGGTGCGGACCGCCGAGAGCCACCAGCAACTGTGCTGCCAGCGCTTTGAACGCCTCTCCGATTCAGCCAAGCAGGGTAAGCCCTACAACCCTGGAGCCCCTGCCACTGGGCTACCTACCCTGCCAAGGCTCCCAAGGCTCCCACTCCTCTCCCCTCTCCTCTCCAGAGCTCATGGACTTCAAGTCCCGCCGTGTCTCCTCTTTCCGCAAGAACCTCATCGAGTTGGCGGAGCTGGAGCTCAAACATGCCAAGGTGAGCCCTCCCGCCTCACTGAGCCCTCTTGCTGCCCCCGACCCCCAGGCCTGCAGATTCTTAGCTACTGTGTGTTGGGGGTAAGGGGAAAGGCAGCTGTGAGCAGCCCCAGCTGAAGTTCAGGGCCGCGTTTCCCCGTCTCGGCCAGAACCCGTCCCTTTTCCCCATCAGTAGTAAGCCCTCAGATGGCAACTGTTATTGCTGAGGACAGGGATGTGGGTGGGGAAGAGACCCGAGTTCTGAGGTACAGGAAGAGCAGCACCCTGTCTCAGGGAGCAGGGGACATCAAGGACTTCTCTCCTCTACAGGCCAGCACACTGCTTCTACGGAACACCCTTGTTGCCCTCAAGGGGGAGCCTTAGAGCAGCCAGAGCCTGCGCTGGGACCTCTAGTGACAAAGTCCCCCAGACCTCCCACCCTAACAAGATGCCTCCTTCCCCACCACAGCAGCCACTGTCCATGCCCCGTGACCCCCCAGGGCAAGCCCAAGCCCAAGTCCCAGCCCCACCCAAAGGTGCCAGGCCCTGCAAGAGGGAGATAGGGCAGCATGGGCACCATACTTGGCCACATGTACAGAGCACCAATGGGGGAGCCCAGGGGCCCTGACCTCCCTCCCCACGGGGCTGAGGGGCGGCCCTCTGGCCCTGAGTTCATTTGTCCCCAGCCTGTTCACAAATAAAGCACCTGATTTTATAGCGAGTAAGTCTGCTTGTCCTTACTTCCCACAGCTCCAAGGTCCACCAGGCACACCCTGTCAGGGTGCTATGGAGACCAGATCCTGGGGCAACAAAGGAGGCACCCTTGCAGCATCCTTGGCCATTTTCCAGTGCCAGCAGGCTCTCCATGGGAAGGTGCAAGACCCAGAACTTGGAACCCAGGAGCAGTCTTCAAGGCGTGCCACAACCCCCATAAACCCTGGTACAGACCCCACACAAGGCTGATCACAAATCCTCTACACCCATTTCCTAACCAGTAAAATGGAACTACCCTGTCCTGCCTCCCTCTCAGATACTGCCAAGCTCCAAGGAACTAAGGAACCAGCTCTAATTCCAGGCGGCTTTTGTAGTTCAGTTGACTGGGGTGGGGGGTGGGGTTAATAAATCCTGCCTACCCTAGAATGAGACTTCTAGGCAGCTGCTGGGCAGCTGAAAGCCCAAAGTACTAACTGGAGTGTCCAAAGCAGTGCTGGCAAAAGGCTCAGGCCCCAGCCAACACCCTCTTGGTTAAACACAGGGAGGTGGAGGCCAAGACACCTGGGTCTGAAGTCCTGGGCTCCACCTGGTTGGCCCCACCCTGGACTCCAGCCACATGTGCAGAAGGCCAAAGGCTCAACTTAGCTTCTGATTCACGGCAGCCACTGGACCTGGCCCTCATAAATGAGTCAGCCATCCAGGAAAAAAGGCAGAAAAGACCACAGAGAACCTGGAAGGTGGAAAAAGTAGCTCAGGGCGCAATCTGTGACTTGCAACCTCACAGCCCACATTGGGCAGGACTGAGCAGGGAATCAGAGAATGGGCCTCACTGCCGTGCTGCCCACTTGGGTCCAGGCTACAGAAGAAAGCAGTTCAGCCAGGAAGTCCCTTCTGCTCGCAGGCCCCCTGAAGCCAGCAGCAGATGCCCCGGCTCAGCCACCTCCTATACAGCCAGTCTGGGGCCAACTGTGGCACCACCTGTAGAATCTAAGACTGGCAGCTGTCAGAAGGGAGGCTCGACCAGTCCCTGGGGCCAGATGAGGGTGTAGAGCTGGCTGGAGGCAGGGTACAGAAAAGATGCTGCTCATTCTCCCAGCCTACCTCCCCTGCAAGGTCCCCAACCCTGAAACAAACGTCTCATTAGTGAGCCTTTTTATGGTTGTGTGTGTTTTTCTTTTTTTTAATTGAAGGTCCCTTACTGGTCCTGCTTCCATGAGCGGCCACGACCAGGGGAAAAGGGGAGGGGAACCAGGCGGCGCAGGGAGGGGTCATCTCCACAACATTCCATTTATACACAGAACTAAACAGACAAGCACAGAGTCACTATTGCGGTTAGAAGTTGGCAGCATGGGAATGGGGAGGAACAGGTGGGAAACTGGGGTGTCGTTAAAAAAAATACAGGCCCCCCCCAAACTGGGGTGCCCGGGGGGAACTTGGTCTGCTTCAACCCAAGAGGAATCAGAAGATCAAAAGCAGTTTGGGAAGGCCAGAACCGTCAGGAATGGAGGAGGAAGAAGGTCCAGGGGGCGGGGGGGCTGTTTGGCAACTGGGGTGAAGGGATTGCCCTCCCCCTGCTGGGATCCCCCAAGCCCCTCCGGTCTGGCAGGAAGGGGGCAGCCTGCAACCCCTGTGGGCAGGTCTGGGGCTGCCAGATGCTCCAGGCAGGGGGCTGGAGGGGGCTCACAAAGGCTTGCCCTCCAGGGAGATGACGGCGCTGCCCCCCAGCTTCTCTGCCAGAGTGCAACGGTCCTTGACCTCCTCGTAGCAGTTTGCTTGTAATTCATGCTTGATCCCTGTGGGGAAAAAGAGGGGGCATCTGTGAGCAGGAAGCACTGGGGTCGGGGGGGGGGGGGGGGTCTGTGGCTGGGAAGGAGCCAATCAGAACAGATGGAAGGGACAAGGTTACCTTCCAGCAGGCAAGGAAGAAGAGGGAGGGGGCCTCCTCTGCCAGGCCATTCGCCCCACCCTGCAGCCAAGGCCTAAGCAAAAAGACATGTGGCACCACCAATGCTGGCCCTTACCCGTCAGCTTCTTCTTGATGGCGTCCTTGGAGCTGGCGTAGATCATTTTGCTCTTAAGGGGTGCAGACTCAGGGGCCCTGGAGGAAAACACAGGCAGACAACTTGCAGCAAAGCCCCCTCCTCCAAGTCTAGCACGTGCCCTCAGGCAAGAGATGACTTCCAGAAACTCCTGAGCTGGCCTCTAGCATTCAAGTTTCTATCAAGTTCCTCATTGACAAGTGTTTTGTTACAACACCCTCCCCGCCCCCCCCAAACACAGCTCTGGGTAACCAGGAGCCACAGACGTTCCCATCCTGAGAAAGGGGGGGTGGGGCAGAGCTAGGGCAGGTGACAGAAGAAATGCCTGCACAGGAACTCACCAGAAGATAAACACCAGGTCCTCCTTCTTGCTCTCCTTGGTCTCGTAGGTTGCGTCATAGAGGGCGTAGCGGCAGTCCTTATCTGGCAGCATCTTGACAAAGGTGGCGTAGGGGTCGTCTACGGTCTGGCCCACATCACCTACCAGGATCTCCTTGCCCTCCTCGAGGATGATGTTCTTCTTGTCCTCACTCAGGCAGAAGAGCACTGCCTTCTTGCGCTTCTTTACCTCCTCTGGTGTTGACGACTTACGCACCTTCATGTCATTGAACACTTTGATGACGCCATCAGAGACAGCCACACCAGAGGCCTGGGGGACAAGCCACACACAGACACACCTCATAAGGAAAAGGTTTCTGGGACTCTGCCTGATAGTCCCTCCTTTGCTTATCTTAGGAGATCCATCTGGATGCCAACACGCACAGTCCACAGCTCCAAGAGATCATTAATCCCCTTTCCAAGGCAAGAATCACTATTTTCCCAAGCAAACCAAGGTGTCAAAGGACCACCTAGGACATGACCCTAGAGTGGCAGCCACAGAAGAGAGCTCCGGTGATCTAACTCAACACCATTCCTGCCTACCCCGACATTTTACAGGCTAGAAATGGAACACTTGTGAGAAGCAGACCCTTGCCTCACATGTGATCCCAGAATTAAAAGAATCCACAGGGTACCAGACTCATTCCCTTAACTTTTTGGATAAAAATCAATCTTGGAGGCTGGCCCTGTGGCCGAGTGGTTAAGTTCGTGCGCTCTGCTGCAGGCAGGCGGCCCAGTGTTTCGTTGGTTCGAATCCTGGGCGCGGACATGGCACTGCTCATCAAGCCACGCTGAGGCAGCGTCCCACATGCCACAACTAGAAGGACCCACAACGAAGAATATACAACTATGTACTGGGGGGCTTTGGGGAGAAAAAAGGAAAAAAAATAAAATCTTTAAAAAAATAAAATAAAAATCAATCTTAACTTTTTGGATAAAAATACTGACCCAGAACTTTACAGACATTAAATCAAGACCCATACACCCAATCATAGTCATCTCTCCTGGAAAGAGACAACCGGGACCCAACAGTGCTGGATGGGACACCAATATGCTCAACAGTTCTAGCAAGTCCATCACGACCGCTCAATGCAGTTATTACAGAAACTATCCTCTTCTCCGCTGGGGTCTTCCTCAACCAAGGAACCATAACCCCTAATTAAGTCTCGACTAGACAACTCCCTGTCCTCCGGGAAAAGTGAGGGCCCCAAAAGTGGCTGACACACGTTATCAGGCCAAACTCAAGTGCCCACAGTCCTTGAGAGTTCTTTTTTTTTCCTTATTTGAGGAAGATTAGCTCTGAGCTAACTGCTGCCAATCCTCCTCTTTTTGCTGAGGAAGACAGGCCCTGAGCTAACATCCGTGCCCATCTTTCCCTTCTTTATACGTGGGACGCCTCCCACAGCATGGCTTGCGAATTGGTGCCATGTCCGCACCCGGGATCGGAACCGGTGAACGCCGGGCCGCCGAAGCAGAACGTGGGAACTTAACCGCTGCACCACCGGGCGGGTCCCTTGAGAGTTCTTTAAACTTCTACCCTGGGTCGTGTTGGGGGACACCTAGCCAGGAGAGGGAGCGACCATCCACGAAAACAGCGGCCGCGTCCCCCCTCCCGGAACTGCAGAGGAAGCCGGCCACGTGACACCGCCGCTTCCGGAGTGGGCGGGGAAAGGCGATCTGCTAGGCCTGGCCCCCTCGACGAAAGAAACTCGTACCCGGAGGCAGCGGCACCTCCAAGGCCTCAACTCCAAAGAATCGCCTTCCCCGACCGGCTTTTTGGCCCCTCGGCTGCGGGCCGGAGCCTGGGCAAGTTACACAACCTTCGCCTCTCGCAGCCCTCGGGCCCGACACAGAAGGCGGGGTGGTTTCCGGGCGGTGCCCGCCTGGGTCACTTCCCTAAACTCGGCTCCACCCTCAGACCCCATCCGGGAAAGCCGCCGACCCCGCTCGGCCAGGGCTTCGGGCCCAGCGGCCAGACCGGTGCGGTGCGCACGCGCCGGCCGACGGCGCCGTTCCGGCCCGCGCCGGCGGCAGAAGGCGGAGAAGGCAGCTTGCTTCGTGGGGGCCGTGGCCTCGGCGGTGTCCGCTCCGTGCCGCGCGGTGCAAACTCCTAATCCCAGGCGCCTGCGCTCGGACCCCGCCGCCCCCGCCCTTCCCGGGCGCAGACATCTCTGCCACCTGCTCTCGACACAGAGCCGCCTGCCGAGGGAGGGTGACGCGGAGACAGGAACAGCCCTTGGGTGGGGCGCGCGCCAAGACCAATCGCGCGCTTTTCCTTCGCCGCCCCCGGGCCCGGTTTGGATGCCGCGTGCTCCCGTCGAGCGCGCGCCCCCGTGGACCAACCCGCTTCGGCCCCGCCGCGGCGCGCGACACAGGCAGCACCGCGAGGGGCAGGCGCGCGCGCGCCCCGGACCCCTCCCCCACGGCCCGTGACCGCGCGGGCGCACCAGCGAGTGGGGGAGGGGAAGGGAGTCCAGGGGGCGCGCGAGCGACGTCCGAGCCGGCCCTCACGGCGCCCGCGGGCGCGCACGCGCGTCCTGGCACCGCCCGCCCCTCAGCACGAGACCCTCATCCCGCCCGGGGCGCTGGGGGAGGGGGAGCGACGTCGCTCGCCTGCTCCCTCCCGCGCGTGCAGACGACCGACTCGCAGCCGCCTCCCTTCAGGTGCCGCGACCTGCCGCTCACCATGTTTCCGGAAGCGAAAAGGAGATAGCACGGACAGGCAGAAAAGACGAGAGCGGCTGCAGCTGCTGCCGGAATCCGACTGAACGCGGCCTCTCCCGGCCCCTTCCGTTTAGTATGAGCCGCACAATGAGGGGCGGGGCGGGCTTCCGGCGCTCCCCGCGCGGGCCGACGGGAAATGAAGTCCGAGGGTCCTGCGCCGTCCTCGGGCTCGCTGGGTAATAGAGTCTTTTTAGTTAGCGGTCCTCTGAGCGCCACATTGCGTGCCGGGAAATGTAGTCCGCGTCAGCCGAGAGGGGCGGGGCTATGGCATGAAGAGCGCACCCATTGGTCGAATTCTCCAGGAAACGCTCTGAGCTGAGCAAAGGCCGCCGAGCTGGATAGTGTGACCCGAAAATGAGCCCTGACTTCACGGCTCTTTACCCCATAGCGAAAGAGTTTTCCTAAGATCTATCTTGGCAGTTTCTGGTTCCCTGGGTCTGAAAATGTCGAATGAGTTAATATTTTGTTTTTCTGAATTCAAGCAACTATTCATTGGCCTGGAATCCAGTCCTAGAACAAGGAGAATCGCAAGTATAATGCCCCTTCAATCCAATATTCACCGAGCACCCTCCATGTGCAAAGCCACTCTTGTCTCCTGAGAAAAAGCCATATGCAACGTCAATAAAATAAGAATAAGAGAAAAAAGCACAAGGGAAGGGCTACGAGGAAATCTTTGAAAATAGAGCTTTGCCCTTGTTTTAAAGATGTTTGGCAAATTCACGAGACAATGAGGAAGGGCAGAGGTTTGTGCATTCAGTTCAAGGATTATACGCTTTTTACTTGACAGTGAGAAGAGGAAATAGATATTAAACCAGACTTAAATCTCGTTCTCTAGTTCATAGCCAGGCACGTGTTAAATTTAATACCCTCACAAAGTGAGACACAAGCTATGTGGGAGGATAAGCTTCAAAAAAATAAGCTGAGGTGGGGGACTCCGGGAAGATTTCGTTGACCTCGAACAATGACCATGGCCTCACACCCCGCAGGAAGAGAAGACAGGGTCGCAAACAAGGGAACCGGGGGCATTGATCCCATAGGCGGAATAAAGAGTACAAATGAAGAGCTGAAAGCCGGGTCTTCACCACCTGGGGAGCGATCCCCGGGAGTAGGGCACCTCGCAGAGCATGCTGGGGGTTGTAGTTGGGGACATGCCGCCGCACCGCCCACCAACAGAGCTCCCAAGAGCCCCAGGTGGAGGCCGCAGCTCGACCCCCGCTTCCCGCAAGCGACCCTGACAGAAGAGGCTGGCTCCACC